AGCAATGAACATAAAGAGAACTGGTGAGCAACAATTAGTAAGAAAAGTACATTGTTTCCCCATTTGGTACTTTGTAACTTATACAACCACATCTAGGGAAGTCATTATCATACCAACAGTCACATGATTCTTTCCTGAAAATGGAAGAAAGATATCTGAAATCTTGCACGAAAATATTTTTCCCTCTACCAGAATGTAGATATTAAAAGCAAATATGTGTATGCATATTCTGAGATGAATTTATATTGCACAGGTGATGAAATGTTGAGGAAAATATATTTTCATTTTCCTGTTTAGGAGCATGATTCTGTGATATGCCTATGTAAAACAGTCTCATTAAGTAGTTAAGTAGACAGAATATTTGATGAGAAAACCTAGTTAGTTGAGGTCTAGATCCAGAAACTGAGAGTTGGGCATAATTGTGCTAAATTTTGCAGGATTAGGGGCAGAGTACCTTCAGTACAATATAATATTTCCAGGTTATGTTATCAGACTCTGATCCTAGCAAGAGCCCTGAATCTTCCAGTTTTCCAGGTTTTAGCTCTCCTGGTATTTGCAAAGACATGATCATTGACTGTGTATCTCTGTTTATAAGGATTTTCCATGCTGTGCATAAACACGGTGGAATTGTCTTAACTTGCAAGTACCTCCAATATAAAATAAACAAGACAAGACAATACAACTGATCCTTGGTTTACTTTATGGAGTAATTAGGTAAGGCATACTCCACAGCCACATGTTAAAGTTAGCATGATACTTGAACATAAGCCATCGCCATCCATATTAATTGCAAAGCTGAGATCAGTTTTGTATCAGACTTCAGCCTCTGCCTTGTCTCACTTTTTTAATGGTCCTGATTTCTTATGGTGACATGCCTAGTTACATTTAGACACGGGACACCTATAACCATTCATCTGAAGTTTAAATGGGCGAAAAATGCACATGGAGGAACTGTAAGGTGTAAATTAGTTATGGTACAATACCTTAGCTTATACCCCTGAATTTCCACAACACGTAGTTCCTAGACATAAGGAATGGGTGTAAGAAACTTTAAAGCTTAATTAAGCTTAAGTAAGTACACAATTGTCTGTTTTATCCGTAAGCAACAAATTGTCCCTGATGGCCAAAAGTCAGTTTGCTACATTACTGTATTTGACAAAACAGTATAAAGGACAAGTGAGTGAGGGAGCGAGTGTGTGGTATAATCAAGCAGGGTAGAAACACTGAACTTGTTGATTCTTAAACAGAATCCAGTATCCAGATCTGCTACAGGTTGTCATTTATCCATTCTCATCTATGACAGCTACTCGAATATTTTAGCAAGTAATTTCTATTTATCACAATTTCCTACCCTAGACAGAAACACGCACTTTTCTTCAAAAGACAGTAAGGAGCACAAAAGTAATCCAGTCATTTTGCCTGTATACACTGATCTCATGACTTCTATGTCATACTCCTTGTCAGCTAACACAGAAGAGCAAAGTGATTCTGCTTACAGGTTCCTATTTAATAACACCTCATTTAAGAAAAGAAAAGAAATGGCTATGTAGGAGGACTAGTGAAATTGCTAGTGAAATTGTTTTGCTATAAAAGAAGACTAGTAAAACAGCGAAGTAAGAAAATATGTGTAATATTCCATCTGCTCTTTTACTATTTCATTGTAGCCTTGTATATGAGTAGAAGCATTAGAAGGAAACTAGAAGCAGGGCCTGAGGTACCTGAAGTGCATCTCCATTTCCTCCAGAACAGGACACATGTTTGTATTCCACAGAATTTTTCAGTAGACTCCTTTCCCAACACAACCTTAATTGTATTTTCACTCTGACACTAACCATAGCAGAGACTGTTCCTGTTTTCGATGTCAATGGACTCTTCATGGATTTTGATAGTTGTGTGCATGATGGTGTAGAACTCACTCCATCATTTGTCAGTTCATCTCTTTTCTTGGGCTTGGATTATGCACTCCAGGATATTAAGCCAGGGTGCTTCACCTATACTCAATATTTATTGGACAAGTATTCCCACTAAAATCTAGTGATCAAGTCTTCCGTTCAGTTTAAGACAGTTAACCTGTTATCTAGATGTGAAGGAAAATAAGGTTGCTTGCTTTGCCTTTCTTGGTCCACTGTCATGGTACCTCGTTATAGGTCTGTAAGAAATTCTTGTGCTCTTGTAAATGCAGGTTTTCCTTAAAGGTTAAATGTCCCTTTTCCTGACAGATTTTCTATAAGTATAGTGTTACAGTGGCTTAATAGTTCTAGTTCAGCTTTGCAACAAGGAAAGCTTAGACAGGTGTCTCAAGAGAAAAAATCCTCTAAAAATACGCTTGCAGAAATGTTGTACTAAGTGTTGAAAATTGGTTAAATTACTTGCAGTAGGTGGGGGCACATAATTCTGTTTTCTTCTTTTCCAAATCCTATGACTCATGTTCACCTTCATAAAAGTTATTTTTGCTTTGGGAACCACTACAGTTCATCTTTGCTTCTTCCAGCACTTCATAATCACTTAGTAGTAAATCATCTGGACCCAACTCACTGACCTCATGTATTGGTTCATCAACCTCTTTCTTTGCCATGTTAAATCATTTGTAAAGTTAAATAAAGAAAATGAGGGAAATTATTGTGAATTCATGAACACATAAAAAATTAACTCCAAGAATATAATTCAACTGGCAAAGGTGAGTGATATATATTTATTTTAAATTGTTTTTGTCAGAATATTCTATTAAATTAAATAAAAAAGTTACAATTTAATGACATTATTTAATTCTGTCTATTTAAATGGCTTGATTCATTACTTATTTAAAGCAGAGATTATCTAGTTTGAAATGAATGTGCAATTAAATCCATCTCTAAGTTGATTTGTATTATGCACTGCAAAATTCATGGCTTACTAGGTACCTTGTTTATTATTTTGAATGGGCTGCAACCAGGTACGTCAGGAAATTGTAACAAACTCATGCAATGAGGTTGCTCCCTCACCTTCCAAAACCTCACTGGATGCAATACTTACCCTCTGGCATAGCGTTTTCCAGATTTGGAGCCATTCCTATCAAGAAACTGGGCAACCTGCTGGCAGACTTTGGCCCATTGTCTTTGCACTTCCTACTTGCTACCTCTTAAGTATGTAATTAAGTTGCCTGTGGCTTTTGTTTCTCAAATATGCATTCATCCGATATGTGAAGGGTGAGGGGAACACTCAGACCATCATTTTTAGTCTTCAATTTTCCCATTAGAAAGAAAATTTAAATTGGTGCTGTGCTGATGATTTATTGCAGGAAGGAACACAATTTACACAGAGAAAAGTGAGATTTTAATTTTACACAGTTCACTAGCAGCATATTCACATGTTCTGCCTATAGGTATCGCAGTAAAGATGACAGTGTGGTTTTGTTTTCTAATAAGGGGAAAACATAAAGCTTATTCTCACTTTTAATATATTATTCTAATGCATTTTCTGTGCAATAAAAAGGAGTTTTCTAATCAATTTATATTATTATATTAAAGAAATTTACACTTTTAAAATATTTGAAGCTGCTTGCATATGACACTGACATATATCTAACCATATCATAAAATATCCTGGCACACAATGGTGCATTTATAGTAATAGTTAAAAATGTTTATTTTGCATTTCTAAATCACATAAATAATTTTCCAAAGTCACCTAAATGCTGTTGCTTGCAATCAACCCTTTGGAGCTGTCAAGTTAAGAACTCCTGCTGTTTGTACTAATGTGTTTTGCATTATTATCTCGGTTCAGATGATGTTGATTTGTGAGTCAAAATGTTAATTAATTAAATAAACAATATACATCGTTGACTTGTATTAGACTTGTGTTATTTCTATGTCATGCTGCCACACATTTATTTAATCTCTGGGTTAAAAATACAGTCTTCTCTTTAGGATGAGACAGAAAGATGTTGATGGACGGAACTATCTAGGACATATGGAATGTCTAAATGCACTGTTACAATTTAAATGCAACCAAATTATGGGAGTTTTTTATTATTAACTGAAAAGTTATTTAATTGTCTTCTGTGAGAAAACTCTGAATGAATCTTCTGGAAGGGATTTGATATTTCCTTTTTTTGTGTTATATACTTAGCAATTTGGAGTTAAATTTACCAGATAGCACATGATAGCATATGCTGTTTCATGTGGGATACTGTGGTTTTTTCCAGAGTCTATTTTACTTCTATTTTACTTCAGGCACTTAAATTTATCCCCTATACAAAGGAAAGAGAAGAGTACTTGCATAGTTAGTAAGCCTTTGCTAGTTCACATTTTCAGGAAAGAAAGCATCTGGAATTACATATAATGATTTCTGGAAGAACAGGATATAATTATTCCTTCACTCTAAAAGACATTGTGAGTGCTCGAATCAGTATCATCTAAACCATTTTTTTCTGATGAGCTAATCTGTCTGCTACCAAGTTGGTCACATCTAGTGTTGTAATGGAAGTAAAGATCATTAAAAGGACAAAATTCCACAAATACAAACTTAAAAGTTTACTATTACATGAAAAGAATCCCATGGCACAATAACTTTAGTGAATAGTAATTATTACACACTTTCCATAAAAATTAAAAAAAAAAACCTGACTGGAATTCTTATGTAGACAGTACTTTGGTAAGGTAAAGGCATATAAGAGCTGGTTATCCAGATCTTCGGTTTTAAATTTTGCTTGCCAAAAAATCTTTTGTAATAGTGTTTTTATTTTCTTTCCTGCAAGTAAATGGAAAAAAAGCACCTATTGGTTTTGGAGGTGTTTTTTTCAGTAATTTTTTTTCATTATCGATTATTTATTCTTGATGACAAAATGGTAAAAGGAAGACAAAAAAAAAAACCACCAAAAAAGGAAGTGGAGAAGGAAAGCAAAGTCCTTTTCCTCCCACAGAAATTAATGCCCAAACTTGTCCAAACCAGTCAGTGTGACGTTTTTAAAATCTCTGCAATCGAATCACTTTTTTCAACATTTTTTCTCCTATTTCCTTTAGATTTTCTCTTTATGTCACCATTCTGTACAAAAGTGAGCAAAAGGCCTTATGAATGGACAGGTAGAAGAGCGATTTCTAATGAAGATGGATGTGTTGTTACTGCTGTGTAGCAGAGCATTAAACTTTCTGACACAGGCTGAAGTCACCACATTATAACAGCCTAAAAAGACGTGCAGTGATGGGTAAAAGAAGGTAAGTAAAAGAAGATCTAGTTAAACGCTGAAAAACGCCATTCTGACACATACATTTGAATACTGAATGAAGTAGTACAGCCTTAGAATATTATCTTTAATTTTGGTCTACTTTACCTGTTATGGTTTATATTGGTCATCCAGGTGTGATATTCCTCTGATACTCTGTAATATTACTCAATTTCTTTTGGTATTTTTCCATTTGCTATTATAACTGTATAAATAAAGAATAAGGCTGAAATATTGGTTCTTTTAATAAATACAGATTTTATTTTAATAGTGATTTTACTGAGCCAGCTAGTCTTTATTTACCTAGTGTTTTTGTTTAGGTCAAAAAAATCCTCCATGCATTTAAACAGCTGAGGCTTTGCAATATATTCAGGAAGATCTGCCTTAAAGTGGTACTGAATCATTGTTTTTGCTAGTTTAAATAGATTGCTCAAAGTTGGCAAAATTACTTTAAGAGTTTTCTTTGCTGGATAGGTCTTCCTGTACAGACCCCACAGGAAGAGCAGGAGACCTTCAAAGAGGAGAGATTCTGTCTACTACATCAACAGCAAAACATTAACAGCTGGGAATCTGGAGAAGATGAGGAAAACAACATTAGGAAGCAAGACTGAGAATCAATGGCAAATAAGGAAAAAAGATTTTTAAGTTAATAAATAAGCAATTAAATATGAGAAAAATGGGAACTACCTTCTAGTTTTATGTTGATTTTTAATATCAGCTATTCTAGAACAAGGATGCAGCACATATCCACTTACACTCTTAATGGATCTGCCCAAATCTTTATCTGTTTATCAATAAGATAAAAAACAAAGTTCCAAAGCCACTAAAGTAACAGTGTGTTTTATTGGATTTCACAGAAAAAACATTTTGTCATACATGCCTTCACACTGTTGATACTTTCAGTGTTTTGCTTAAAAACCATTAAAATAAAGTCACTTTCTCTCTAAATAGCTATTACAGGCTGCTTTGTGGAACTAACATTTTTCAAAGTCATGAAGAAAGCTGAAAAAGTTGCTAATATTCATATTGAGAAACCACGTTTTTTTCCAACAATATTCATTCTTTTATCCTTTTTTTTCTATGAACTTACATACTTTCTCCTTTACTCTCTCTGAAGCACTTGGGAAAGTTTAATAATGGCTATCACATGGTGTTCCAGAACCTTTTACAGAGACCCAAATTAAGAGAACACTATGTTATGCAAATATCCAGGTATTTCAGGTATGATGATTAATTTCCTCCTAAAGCTGAGGAGATAAGAGACGTGTGAGTGGCATGTGCATAGCTGTAGATACAATCCTAGTTAGGGGGTACCTTACTCATTATTGCACATTATGATTGTCATTAAATGCCTCCACATCCCACATTGAAACTGGGTTAATGTTCTCCCATAGCAATCAGGTCTTATGTTTTCTCCCTTTTTATTGTGTATCAACAAACTCAGGGATTTTTGCTTTAGGTCTTTCATGAGTGTTGAGAGATTCTAACCTCTGGTTTGACTCAAATAAGCAGCAAATTTAACCTGATATTTACAGAGGTAAACATTTTATCCAATACTCAAGGAAAAACTTCCAGCACAGAGACCAAGTCTGATTTTTCCATACTCCTCCTCCTCACTAAAAGCTGGATTCCTACATGCATGGCTATCATTACAATGCATGAACATCTCCTCCAATTCTTTCTATTCTTGCAAGACCTTTTTTGGGTGTTGTTGGGCAGCTATTGCACCATTTGTACAGGTGCATGGAAACTTATGTCAGTATTTTCTACGGAATTAATGACATAGATGTTACATAATAGACCATTGCTCACCAAAGACTGTTGAATCTTCATTCATCAGGTTATATGAAAATCTGTCCTTTGCAAGCAACTGATGTGAACTCAGGCACCTATTTCAGATCTTTGTGCAGATTCTCTGTGGCTCAAAAATTCCTTGTGATTTTTTAAGTGGACTCTTGGTATCCTCTAGAAACTGCCAGAGAATTCCAGATTTTTTTTTCATGTTACTGTTTATGCAGTAATTCTGAGCAGCAAATAATTTCTGTAGTGGCAGATATTTCTGCTTAGTTAAGGTATACCTACATGACCAAACTCTGCTGTATTTTTGAACTACAAGAGCCAAGTTCATCAGACGGTGGATAGCCATGCCAGCACAGAGTTTTGCTTATAGGAATAAAGTCCTTCTGAGAGGGTATTTGGTTGCTATTGCAACACTTCTGCATTTTCAGTAAGCATTTTGGTGTCCAAGGGATCTTACTCATCTCAGCCTACTCAGGACAATGTTAACAGCAGTTTGGAATTCATCTGTTAATCTGTTTTCCTTCATCTTTAGCACACTGCTGCCTGGGCAGGAGGTGACAAATAATGAAAGATAAAATATGTGGATGGTTTATTCTGTGGCTGTGCACAGTCCTCCACAAAGGCATTAGCTGGCATGGTGCTTGTTCAACATCCTATTTTCCTTATATTTTCAAATCTATCAAAACAACCTCCTGATTTATTTAGAAGGTCTGGAGATTACTTCAGCAGTGAGGTTTATTGTATCTTCATTGCACATGACAGGTCTACTTACCACTGGTCTCTTTGTTCAAAGTAAGGGAAGAAAAAAGAAGCAGTTCTGCAGCACGGTTTACTCTATCATAAGGTTGCTATCTAAATAGGCCAGGTGAGCCTAGAAGAACTGTTTCTTTCATTTATTAAACACAGATTTTGAGCAGCTGACTGAGAGACAAATCTATTCTGTAGATACCTAAAATGAGCTAAGCCAAACTTCCCTGGGCTGGGATTGTTAGTTAGATTTATTATGTTTTTGGCAAGGTACTCTTTTGTGTATCTGGCAAGTGCTATCAGGTAAACAAATGTTCTGTTATCTGATACTCTTTTTAAATTTTTCTTTTCCTTTAGAGATTGATCTTGACTTACTGAGCCTAATTTTTTTTTCCCTTTCTTATTTCCCCTTTTTTTGGTATTACGTTTTGCTCATTGCGTTGGTCTGTTTCCATTACAGTAGATATAAGCCATACATAGAAATTGTGAAAGTAGTCCATTATCATTGTATGGTTCAGCCATGCCTTAGGGTAATTCCTTTTTGTGACTTAATTATATTAATTTTAATTCAGGGTTTTTTGTACTTTTCCTGGTTTGATTTTTTCTACTATAACATAAATTCTTCAATTCTATCTAATCTTATTTCAACCCTTTTGCTAATATAATTGTGATCAATATTATGCCAATCCCATTTGGCACTTTTGTCACCCATTCTTTTCTCTAAAATGAATATGGTCTCTTTTTGACTAAGTTTCCTGCATGATATAGCACATAGGACAACATCTTAATTCTACCCAGTACACCCAGAGACATTGTTTCATTAGTACCTTCTGCTGCATTTTGGATCTTTTTAATGTTTTGGTTTGTTTTTTTTTTCATTCCATATTTGTCCTGGAACATTGTGGTGTTAATTAATTACCCACTCATACCCACACATGGTAAACCCATCATATTTAGGACTCTCTGAGATCTTTCTTCCCTTTTGCAACAACAGTATGCTATTTAGTTTTCACTGGGATAACCTAACAGATTTTGCCAATAAAATGGCTTTTTACTCTCCAGTTTCATTCTCTGCCATTTAAAAGTAGTAAATTTAGAACCAATAAAAGCAAATGCTCCTGTACGCAGCATATAATCAACCTATGAAGTTCACCCTCACAGGAGGTCATCAAGTCAAATACCCTGGCTGAATGTTAAAAAGAAGTGGGCTAATTATATGAACAGTAACAACATTTGTAGCTTTGCATGTCAAAATTAATAATAAGGCTAAACCAAATATCGTGCTTCAGGGCATAAATTGATTAGCTGCAGGTGTCAGGATGCATTCCTACTCTCCACATAGAATTTGTACCATTGCTAAGAAGTTGTTTTATGAGGATATGAAGCAGTCTTGGAGGACTTGTTTGCATTTTGGGATTGAGTTTTTTGATTTTGCTTTTGTTGGGGTTTCTTTGTTTGATTGATTTTAATTTGGTTTTATCTCCTCTAAATGATTTCCTGTTACTCTCAATGTAAGAACATTACAGAAAATGGTAAGGTAAAGTAGCCCCTACTCCCTCAGACATTTAATGCAAGAAAGACACTGTCTTATACTTTTTGCCTATGAAGGCAGTGAATACTACAGAGGAAGAAGTTTCCTATTAATGAACTGTCGCAGTATCTTTCTTCAGATCTGCCTTTTACATTCACCTACATCTTGGTGCCACTTGAAAGTGGTCAAGCAAATGATGTACAGCAGATCAGCATTTTTATATTTCCCAGCTTTGATAATGTCTCAGTTATCTTTCCTTGACTCTAGTTTTACTTCTTCTTCTACCTAAATTGTAAGTCTTTGGGTTGTTTTTTTTTTAGAGTAGAATTATCTTACTGCTATGTGTGAATGTAGTAACTACCAGACTTGAGTCCTGATTATTCTAAGCTAATATCCTACTTATGACAACAGATGAAAACCAAAGCACCCAATGCTGTATTTTTGATCTTTGAACAAATCTTTTGCCTAATTAGTCCTTCTCTTGGAAAACTGCAGTCTCTTAAAAAAAAAAAATCTTCCCTTCTGACGATGACGTTCTATATAGCCATGTCATTTGAAGGGTGTTTCCATTCTGAGCTTTGAGTTTTAATTCTATTCCAAATATTGGTGTAGCTAAACCACATCAAGGTTTAAGAACCATGATTTTCCTTACATTTGAATGATAAATATGTTATAATCTTGAATAAGTTCAAAATAAAAAAAGATGTGCGCACTGCTGAATCAGACATTCCTGCCTAGCAGACAAAATCACTGGGTTTTTTCTCATTTGTAATCATGAATTATCCTAAATTTCTACAGATTTCTACAGTGATGTGAAGAGGAACAACCTAGATGTAAATGATAAGCTTCTAGGCTCCTTTAGAAAATCTCATGACAGAGTTCAAGTAATTTTGATAGCCAGTTAAGTTGGGTGGCCAGTTCCCATATGACTCTTTCAAAATTCTCCCTGGATTTTTAATATCTGGATTTTTAATAGGAGTATTGATGAGCTCTATGAAAATAGGCTGGACCTCTCGTTAAATTCAGCTGATGTGAAGTGAAATACAGAGTCAACACAAACACAGGACAGTGTGTATGCAATGTTATTGTCTACATTTCTGCCTGAATACAAGTCTCTAGTCAGCTGGTTCATGGGAAGCTACAAGTTTTATAATTTATTAAACAATAACTTTGTATAGAAAATCACTGGCAAATAACTAGTGACCCACAAGATGAACTAATGTAATTTGTATAATAAGCTAATTTTTAGCCTTTTGCTGCAAAAGAAAAAAAGGAGAAGGGAAGTTACCATCTAGGTCGCAGGTTCACTATGTGCGCAAGTCCATTTTATACAAACGTGATCAACAGTGCTAGACTTCTAAGATGTTGTTCACTGGTGTTTAATTTTAAAAGCATGTTCTGAGGAACTGCTCTGTAGACATGCGCTTCAGAGTGCATTTAAAATTTCATCTGACATCTGAGAGAAGATGCTTATGCATTATATAACAAGCAGCGTGATCAAAATACAATAATTAATACATAATATGACTTGTAAAACATAAATGAAAATGAACCAGAGGGAGGAACTTGACGACCT